CCCCCCCCCGAGCATCCCTATCATTTTTACATCAGTCCCGGCCCTCCAAAGAGCTTACAAGCCAAGGTGCCTTACATATGCCAAATTTTAGGCTAGTGGGCGGAGCTATGCAAATCCCTCCCTCTATGCTCCATGGCCCACCATGCATCCACTTCCTATGCTGCCGCTCTATAGTACGGATGAGTACGAAAATTTGGAGTCCTTTCTTCCAAACTGCGCACACAGCTGTTCTGCGTCAGTCCGCCATGCGCTGCACTGGAGATGACCAACAAGCCTGAAACAGTTGTGTGCGGTTTGGATACGATGGTTGTGTAATATTGTATCTAAGCTCTTAACCCAGCTGTTCTAGATGCACAGTTAGCCCGGGGGGGGGCCCCCACTTTCTCTCCTGAAATGCGTTAACCCAGGGGCGGCAACCTTGGCCCTCAAGCTGTTGTGGAACTAAAAGTCCCATGAGGCACCGCAAGGCTGACGGGCATGATGGGGATTTGTAGTTTCACCATAGCTGGAGTGCTGAGGTTGCCTCCCCCTGGGATAACGCATTGTTTTTGTGATGGGAGTGAGACGTGTAGATGCAATTTTGTTTTAAAGAAGAACTCCGGGCAGAATAAAACTTGACGCTTGCGGTGGGGCTGCCCCTGCACTGCAAGGGTTAAAGTAATTGTCTTGGTCTGGCGGGTCTAAAAGAGCAAAGTTGTATGCACCCGGACCTCAGTCCCGCTTGACTGGTCCCTGCAGCCTTTCGGGCCCTCCTCTCCAGCAATGGCGCGTCCCTCAGGGTCCTGCACTGTATTAGATGCGACGACTCGCGGGTCCTGAGACTGCGGCAGTGGAGGGGGAAGAGAGGCTGAAGGGACCGGTGTAGCAGGCAAGTGGGACGGGGGGGGTGAAGATGGGATACATGTGTGTATTAGGCCCTAGACCGGGGGGGGGTGGGGCTCTGGCCCTCCAGCTGTGGTGAGAACTAAAGTCCCATGAGGCATTGCAAGATTCTCACAGGCCTGACTCCCAGAGACAGATGCATCGTGGGATTTGTAGTGGGGCTAGAGGTCTCGTCCCCCCCTCCCCCCCCGCCAATGGG